CGTATGCTGTTAAGAACATCTTGGTTATTCCCCGCATATTGTAACGTAACGTATAAATATTGTAAACGTAAAATAATCCGGGTTAAATGAGAATCCCGGTTCGTACAATTCATATAAACTACCGCCGAAAACGTCGTGAAACTTCCGTATTTTCGTATATACAGTATACGTTTTCAGTTACGTGAATAGAATTATCCCAAATTTTATGGCCCGTAAACTTTTTCGGCCCTTTCCCAATCTCTCCCGGCACACAAAAAAAAAGATCGGGCGTGATCTGGCTGTACGGTTAATTTCGGAATTGAAAAATAAAGCCCGTTGGAGAAAATTAGAGGGTGGCTATTCTGTACTCGTCGAGGTAATTTGGAGGTCGTTAAGAAAATTGGGGGATAAAATTGTGCCGCGCGCTTGATTGATACAAAATTTTCGAATAACAATTGCGATCGCAATAATTATTCGTACTTTACATCACAACGCAAGTTCGTTATTAATTAGCTGTATTAATTAGCAAACTCTGTACCTTCACATCTACCGGATGCACCGCTCAAAAGGTCGTTTAGCGTTGTATATTTGCGGTGGAACATAACCTAATAACCAGGCGTGTATCCGAACTTCTATCGGGTTAGTTCTGATCAAATTAAGCTCGCAGTGGGGGAAATAACAGACGCGAAAGTTATAATCTAAGCTAATACGTACTCACAATTAGGTACGATATGAATGCATGGTGTCTGTCACGGCACATCGCGCATATCCCGCATATAGACAGTTCCAATTTCGGTCTTGCTAAATTAAAGTAGTTTCGGTCGTTAGATTGAGTTTTAAATGTTCAATGATTTCGGTTATTAAATCCGCGATTTTTACTGTGAACACTGTTAACAGTGAAACAACCGGGTAAACTCCTGAAAAAAGGGCTTAATCAAATAGCCATTTGTCGACGCCGCAGAACGGCCATATGAATATTTGATTACGGTCGCCGGTTTTTACGGTTCCTGAATAAATGTGCTCTTTTTGCAGGTAATTCCTGTGTTTTAACGGTGATTTGATTGCACAGGTTTTAGCTCGTAATGCCAATAAAAATATACATCAAATCCAATCGTTAAATGTAACCACATTTGTATCATAATATTTAAATTTCTATATTTACAAGCCCACATACTTTAACACTTTTTTAAACATCATTAAAGCATTTTATTATTTTATTTCATTTCATTATAATCAAATAGCAATTATGACTTATTTATTTGTAGCATATAAAAATCGAATGTATCATTATTACAATGAATACATTGAATTTCACTTAAAATGCAATATCCAAAAATTTTTTTCCATAGCAACTAGGTTGTACCTAATTACTTTGTCCCACATAAAATACAACATGTCTCAATGTTTCTAGTTCTAGGTCTAATGTTAGTTCTAGTGACAACGGTAGGTAGCGTTAGTTAACATAAGATATCACTATTTTGCATATTTTCATTGAACTAAAACTAGAACTAACACAAGACCTAGAACTAGAATCATTCGGATTTAGCCGTCTTGAGAGACGTGCGGCTAAACCCAAATGTTTCTAGTTATCGGTCTAGTGTTAGTTCTAGTTTTACACTAGTACTATCACCAGAACTAGACTTTTTCGGGTTTTAGCCGGCTTGAGAGACGTACGGCTAAACACGAATGTTTCAAGTTAGTTTTAATTGTTATTCAGCGTTAAATTGCGGGATATTTTTATTGAACGAAAAGTAGAACTCACACTAGACCTAAAACCAGAAACATTCGGGCCGTGGGTCTTGTAAGACGGCCGAAAACTCAGGGTTATCATAAGGACATCCTTTATCCAAACAAAACTTTGCCTTTGCAAAATCACCCAATTTTTATGTAGGACAGTGCAAGATGGAGAATTGAATAATTCGATTTGAAATGCAACTTCGAGGGAAAAGAGAACTTTCCGAAAAACGTTTCAACCTAATTTTTGAGTATTAAAAGATGATTATTACATCAATATATGCTAAAGGTGTGTAATTTACAAATATTAAGGATTCGATATGTTGTATAGAAAAAAGTTAAGAGTATAGAGGATTATTGATGTAAAATTGAAATAATTTCAATAAGTTCATTGTTTCACTCTTATCTTCTATTTCTCTTGAAGAATCTGAAATCTGATTGTCAATTTAAAATTCCCTATGTATTAAACATTACATTACATTACATTACATTACATTACATAGAATACATATCGGGTAGGCGGACCAACCAACCTTGCACCGCGACCCTAAGGATCTATTGTACCCCGATAGATATCGTTATCAAATTTCACCGTGCAGTCCAATGCTCTTAACGAACATTAATACCTTGCTCGGCGAAAGGTCATTCAGATCTTTTGAGGAGATAAACTGCGACCCAAAAATCGAGAATCTGATACGGTTAACGGCAGGGCAGTGGCATAAAACATGCTCAACCGTCTCTGCTTCCTCCGCACATAGTCGGCATTCAACATCGTCGGCTAAACCCAACAAGTTGAGGTGTGCTTTTAATCGGCAGTGCCCAGTAAAAACACCCATTAGAACTTTTATGCTACTACGGGCAAGTCCTAAAATATTCCCGGGTTTGACAGTGGCGATGTTAATAAACACCTTAGCATGTCTCATTCCAGGAGAACTGGTCCACAGTAGGCGAAGTCTCTCTTCAGCCCACAGTCCAATCCTATATTTGGCCATCGCAAATGATACACCAACTGCTGGTTCCGGTCCCACAAACGCTTCAGCGCTGCCATCTCGTGCTAGCTTATCTGCCGCTTCATTGCCAGCAACCCCAGAGTGACCCGGGACCCAGATCAGAGAGACTCTGTTATCACAACTCAGTGTGTTTAATGTTCTCTTACAATCATTAACCAGAGCCGACACCGTTTTCACGGCTTGCAGCGCCTGGAGAGCGGCTTGACTGTCTGAGAAAATTCGTACTGTCATGTTCTTCACCCCTCTTTCAAGAAGGATTTTAGCACCCATGTCAATAGCAAATACTTCCGCCTGGAATACAGTACAGTACGTACCCAGGCTGTAGGCTTGCTTAATTCGAGGTGTCTGGCAGTATACTCCTGCTCCTACCCCTTCAGGCGTTTTTGATCCATCTGTGTACAAGCAAATGTCTGCCCGAACCAGAGAATTTTCATTTTCGATCCAGGACTGCCGCTCAGGCAGTACAATCTGGTATCGAGCATTAATCACTGATAGTGATACCGCCAAATCTGACGGCATTGATAGCACAGTATCAGTGCTTATAATGTCTTCCGCAGCCCATTGGTAGGACATGTCGGAACAGTTTTGAGCATATTGCTTAAATCTGTAAATGGTTGTTCTAGCCACTTTCTCTATATGCAAATGCAGAGGAGATAGGCCAAGCAGAACCTCCATTGCTAGAGTTGGCGTTGTGCCTATCGCACCAGAGATTGCCAATCCAGCTACTCGTTGAATTCGTGAAAGTTTACTGATAACTGAAGTCTGTCGGACTTTCCTATACCAGGCTGCTGCTCCGTATGTGATCATAGGTCTAACCACAGTCACATAGAGCCAGTACAGTCTTTCAGGGGTAAGACCCCAATTTTTTCCACAAAGACTGCGACAAGTCCACAAGGATAGTCTAGCTTTGTGCAAAACTCCCTGCAAATGTCCATTCCATGACAGGGTTTTGTCTAGGATTACTCCTAGATATTTGACTTCCTTTGAGAAAGGAATTTCTTCACCTTGGATAGTTGGGCGGATTAGTCCATCCAACTTTCGCTTCCTGGTGAAGGGCACAACAATTGTCTTTTGCGGGTTTATTGAGAGGTTCTCTCCCTCACACCAAGCGCAAATGGTATCTAGGGTCACCTGGAGGACTTTAGATATCCTATGTACTAAACATAAAAAGATATGAATTTGTAAATCTGTAAAAGGAACCGTTTCGAAAACAGCACACTTTTTAGCGAAGAGTCGTAATTGAGATGCATTTTATAAACGTCCCATTTCCTTTTATCTAACCTTGTACATTTTAATCAATTTAGCAATTTCTTATACAGATTTCTCTGTAGAATGCAAATTTATATAGAATTTAGTTAAATGAAGAATTTGATCATTTTGTACATTATTTTTAACGTTCTACCCACTCTTATCTCCAAATTCACTTAATGAATCTTAAATTTGGCTATCAATTTAAACTTCTCTAAGTATTTTACATAAAATGTACATAAATTTGAAATCTGTAAGAGGAACCGTTTCGAAGAAAAAGCACATTTTGTGGAGAAGAGTTCTAATTGTGATCAATTTTTATCAATGTCTAATTTAAACGTATTCTCTTCGGTGAAATATTTGTTTTGAAAAATCACTTTTACTCTTTGAGATGTAAGCAAAAGTAATGATCAATTAAAACGCAATAACTCGTAATTTAACAATCGCTTTCCGGCGAAACAACTTAATTTGAAACCTTTTCGGGAGGGTTGAAACCGGACAAGATCCACATCCGTTACAATTATTGCAGATTGGGTGCCTGTAATCGTTTTGTTTAACAGCGGGGCTGCCGCTGATGAAAATTTTCCGGATGTCGAAAGGGCTCCGAAGTTCGTTAGAATGTTGCGACATCTGGGAAACGAAGGGTTCGCGAAACGAGTTTGCCGAATTGCGTTCAAGGGATCCCGTAATCATATTCATAAGGTCTTAATCGCGCAGTCAGCTCAACGTAATGAGTACCGATCGTAAATCTTCCGGCCTAATCCGAATCGTCCATACGCGTCATTCTTACCGGGTTTATTATCAGATTGAAGTGTCGTTTTATTGTTCATTAAGAGTTACGATTTGGCAAGTTCAAAAGGTTTAGATAGGTGTCTCTCTGTGTGTGTTTCTGAGGTTTATACGATCTGAAATAAAACCGAGACCGACAATGGTGGTAATAAAAAGCTTTCTGGAAAGGGTGTTAAAATTTAATAAAGACTTATGAAATTCTTATAATACCCTTCTTTATTATTTCTCTTTTCTTTTAAGGTGACATGGATTCGTCATAGAGACCTTCATTTATTAACGGTTGGGAGATCGACATATACCTCAGATCAGAGGTTTACTTGTATTCACAAACCGATGACTGAAGATTGGACGTTGCAAATTCGTTATCCACAACGTAAGGATAGCGGGATTTATGAATGCCAAGTTGGCACAACGCCACCAATTGGCCACTCCATGGTGCTTTCGGTCGTTGGTAAGTTTTGCTGAGCAGATTTTAAGTTTCTCACCGTTTCTCGTTATATTTCACCGGTTTTCATAACGCGCCGCGGTTATTTTCATTTTAACCCGAAATTTATACAATGTAAATTTTGAACGAGTTGTGTTAAAAGAGATTTTTATCCAAAGATAGTAAAATGAAATATTACCATTTTTAAAAGATTTTTATTCACTGTCATCTGATATCAAAAGCTATAGTTATCGATCAAATAGAAATAGGGAAACTCGAATACGGAATATCGTGAATTGCATTTTACGAGCAAAATAGTTTACGTTTTGTGTTGTCTGGATGCATTTCTGTACCGGATATGGCAAAACAAAAGTGTGAAAAGGCGCCCTCTAACGCGAAGGCGGCGTCTTTATCTCGGCACTTTGGGCGCCTTCCACCGAAGAAATCGACGGAGTGGCGTCGGTGTACTTGATTGCCGACTCTCTCGGATCTGCATTAACATCGCGCTCCGTTAAAGAAACCCGGAAGAGCGGAAATTCGTGCCGATATATCAACTTACTGGTTGTTTCATAGCTATTCACGTTTTCACAAATTTTATAGAAAGATTTTGCTGTGTGCACGAATTGGGGTGTAATGGAAAAAAATGGAGAAAATGTTTGAAAAAAATATAAAGAAAATACGAGCTATTTCGAAGAAAAATTGACCGCGCCGTAATCATCATTTATAAAAGGAATGTTTTAGCGTTCCGCTTGTATTATAAGAAAGAGGGAAGGAATGTAAAGACGTCAACCTAGGTTGAACTAATGATGTCATCTTGAGATTTAAGTTGTCGAGAAAAATTGAATCGTTCTCTTTAAGCATGCTTAAATATTTTTTTTCAATTTGATTTTTTGATGCCCACCGTACTACATACAGTGCGCGACAAAATTATGGAACATACTCAATAAATTGATAACAAATTTTTTTTTGCAAAAATGCCGAAACGGGTCAATTTTGGTTAATCATAACACACATTATCACACCATATTCATTTCCTGATAATCATTTTTTTATGAGTTATGACGTCATCGACATTTTTTTTAAATGGCACCATATGCATTTGTTTACAGAATCTGAAAGTATCTATTTCTCTGCGACCAACGATGTAAATATCGATATAGGTTATATAAGGAAAATTTTGAGAAAATTAGCTTTAAAGGTACAAATTTTATTTCTTTTTGTGAACGTAAAAATAGCCTTACACATTGGTAACCATGGAAACGTTTTGTTTGGTTTTAATAATGTCTATTCGAAAACGTCAAAATTAGCGATTAATTCGTGTATTTTTGGATTGTTTTCTGTGTTGTAATTGTTTGTTTGTATTTTTTTTCTGTTTTATGTTGTTTAGTTTTGTATTAGTTATTTTACAAATTTTATTTTTTTTCGAACAAAAAAATAGTATTACCCATGCGTAACCATGTACGTTGTCATGGTTCCTTAATTTTTTATTCTCTATTAAAAAACACTAATAATTTAAGTTTTAATGTGCAAGGTTTTAAGTTTTAATATTTAAAGTTATTTAATGTCCGTAGAATATGAATTATGTTATAAAAAAGAAATAAATTCTGATTCTAATCATTTAATCAATTGTTCGAAATACCCTCCACCCACTTCTTGACAATAAGCAAACCTATTCATACATTCTTTTAAAGTATTATAAATAAATTGCGGACTAATATTACGAATTTCAGCGCTAATACAATTTTTTAATGCGTCTACATTGAGTGGTTTCTCAGCGTACACTTTTGATTTTAGATAACCCCATAGAAAAAAATCAAGGGGTGTAAGATCTGGGGATCTGGGGGGCCATTCTATCGGCCCCCGTCTGCCAATCCACCGCTCAGGGAAACTATTATTCAGAAATTCGCGAACAGGATGTGCAAAGTGCGGAGGTTATCACGGTTTAATTTTGCGGGAGCTTAATTGTTTTCTATATTTTGTTTTTCCTTTTGAAATTTATTTTCGTGTTTTAAAATTTTGGTAATGGTCGGGGGTGTAGGGAAAAACCCGTTTGATATTTGTCGCTCGTGTATAGAGAGTTGGTCGTGAACGTTCGAGGCAAGAGGGACGTATTTTTGAGAATTTTTCGGCGAGGAAATTGTTAATCCTAATTTTGGGGGATCTCTCTCGAAAAAATCATAAATTGGGCGTATTTTGGAAAACGCTAGTCGTTTAATTGGTTTACGCGTATATTTACACCGGATTCCGGGATTTATTACACATTTTGTTTTGCATCGACATTTACGGTTCTTTATTTTTTGGTTGGGATATAAAAACCCTGTAACAGGTATGTCTCTCTCGTTTTAAAGATTATTTTTATTTTCTTTCCGTTTTCCGTTTTAAGGGTTTTTAGTTTTGGGAATAAAATATTGGACATTTTATTGGCCACTTTATATAATCATTATATAAATTTAATTATTTTGGATTCGAAGAACTGACGACAAATTCTGCAGTATAACTCCGTCATTTTTGTATTACGGTGACGTATATGTCAAACATCTGGACCACGAAAGAAATAGAAAGAAAAAGAGAAACTGTGAGTTGCTTTAAAATCTAAGTATCAGTCGTTTTATCGCAAAATATTCACAATCCATACAGTTAGCGCAGCCAATAATTTAAGTAATTATATAAATATATAAAAAAGAAAGTGATTAAAGCGTATCCGAACGCTTTAAAAAGTATTCAACTTTTTTTTTTGTTCAATCCATTTTTTTTTTGTAAAGGATCTAAATCCTGTATATTTTTTTTCGTTTGTTTTGTTTTATTATTAAATTTAATTTTTATTTTGAACTTTAGTAATTTTGTTGTTTTGTTACCCTGTCCAACAGCGTTAAATACGCGGGTTTTTGTTGCTGTTTTCATTTTTTTTTTGTGTTTGGAACCGGGACTTGCCCTAACATCGGCAAAGCTTTCTTATTTGAGCTTGAGTCAAATAAGTGGCGCCCAACCCACTTCCTGGGAATTGTTTATTTTATTTTTGACGTGTTATCAATCGGTCCTGATTCCACATACAAAATTTTGGTTTTCAATTTTTTTTTAACGTCGCAAGGTGCACCATCCTGCTGAAACCAAATATTGTCGTCCAGTAAGTTGGGGTTATTATTATTTGGGAATGCTTCTAAAAGGACAAGCATCAGTTCATTCCTCAAAAACTCCAGATATCGTTGACCTGTCAGAATTTGTTCAAAGAAGAAAGGGCCAATGATTTTATTGTGAATTAATAATAATAATAATAATAATAAACTGCTTTATTGTTCTCCTAGCATACCAAAAAAAAAAAAATATTGCAATAAATCATTGAAGAAAAAACAAAAAATAAACAGTAAATAAAATTAAATAATTGCCAATAAAAAACATAAAAGATTCATACATGAGAACAATCTTATGGCATGGTTCAACTCATGTTGTTCTTCCACCATACCATAGAGAATTTAAACATTAATAGAATGCGCATTAACTGTAACATACAACAAAAAAAAACATTATGCAGATGTAAAGCCATTTTTACAAACGTGAAGGTCACTGCCATCCATGCAAATAATTTAGCACGTGTCTTTTAAAAGTTATTGATGATGCACACACTGTCCACTCAAGAGGAAGTTCATTCATTGTCTTAGCGATCTGATAGGAAAATGACTTTTTGAAAAAAGCTTTATGAAAAATAGGTGGAGATAATCTCCCTTTAAATCTAATATTTACAGTGTGTACATCCCCGCGAAAACTTATTTTGTTATAGAGGTAAGGTGGCTTATAAAGATGGAGGACCCGGTGGTAGAGGCATACAGAGTGCAGCACCCTCCTTCCCTGCATGTTTAACCATTTTAATTCCGGCAACTTATCACTTACATGTTCACTTCGGTGAAGACCAAACAGTAAACGTATACAGGAATTTTGTGTTTTTTGAATTTTTTCTTTTAAGACATAGGACAAAAAAGGAGAGTACAGAACATCTGCATAGTTAAAAAGTGAGAGGACCAGACTTTCACAGAGATATTTCCTTGTTTTATGGTTCAAATAATGTCTGTTCGAGTAGATAACCTTCAAACTCCCATACGCCCTTTGTATGCATTTGTTGATGTGATCATTAAAAGTCAAATTCTCGTCTATTAAGACACCCAAGTTTCGTACTGTTTTATGGAATTGTAACGGTTCATTGTTCACAAATAGATGGAGGGTGTCTGCAACTTGCTGTCTGAGGCTCTTTGGACCGAAAACAATGGCAAGAGACTTACTCTGATTTATATGAAGCCCATGGCGGTCGGAAATATCACATAAAGCTTGCAAATCACTATTTATATCTATACCCGCTTTAACCACCTCAGACGGAGGGAAGGAATAGTACAGCTGGGTGTCGTCTGCGTAAAAGTGCGCCTTACAATGTGAAATGGATTTGATAAAATTTGATGTGTATAATGCATACAAAATAGGCGAAAGAGTCGATCCCTGCGGCACCCCCGATCTCACTTCCAGAAAATCAGAGCAATCAACCCCTACCGATACTGCCTGTTCTCTACCTGTTAGAAAATCATTTAACAACTTTTTTGCATTATATTCAAAACCAATATAACCTAGTATTGCTGAGAGTGTTTCATGATCAACTGTGTCAAATGCCTTGGAATAATCCAGCAAACAGAGTACCGTCATCCTACCCCTATCACTTTCCCGCAGGATATCATCGATAATGTGAATTAGTGCTGTAGTACAACTAAATCCCCTTCTAAAACCGGACTGATTTACGGGTAGAATATTATTATCTTCCACATAACTATTTATTTGTTCAAATAAAATTCGTTCCATAACCTTTGACAACACCGGCAGCACACTTATTGGCCTCAGAATTATGCCTGCCCATACATTCACTTTTTGAGGGTATGTACCTCGCTTATCCAATGAGGATTTTCGTTACTCCAGTATCTGCAATTTTGTCGGTTTACTGTGCCATTCAGGCAAAATGTAGCTTCATCCGAAAATAAAACGTTGTAAATAAAGAGTGGATTACGGTCACATCGATTCTGCATAATTTCACAGAATTCCATGCGGCGATCTGTGTCATTTTCATTGAGTTCTTGCACTAACTGCACTTTGTAGGGATGGTACCTCTCTGCTCGTAGCACACGTAGTACAGATCGCTGAGAAACTTGATGATCCGCTACAATTTGTCTCGAATTACTATGGGGATCATCTTCAACAGCTAACAAAATATTAAGTTTCACATTTTCGTTGATTTTAGGACTTCCAGCATGTGCAATGTGCTTAACATGTCCAGTTTCTCTAAATTTCTTGTCAATTTTGCTAACTATTGATCTACTAATAACTCTGTCAGGGTACTTTGCATTAAACAAATTGCATACCTCTTGTTGTGTTCGGGTTTTATCTCCACATCCAATAAGAATTAAAATTTCTATGCGTTGGGTTTCACTTAAATGAGCCATAATTATTTTAAAATAAATACGTAACAACAAATGCTCAAAAATAAAAACAAAACAGTAACAAATATTGAACAAAACTGGACTAATGAACACAGAACACGGCAAAAAATAACAACAAATAACAATCTCAATCAGAATATAACTCAAAATAACTAATACAAAACTAAACAATATAAAACAGAAAAAAAATACAAACAAACAATTACAACACAGAAAACAATGCAAAAATACAGGAATTAATCGCTATAAAAATTGTTTCAATTCAATTAAACACTCACAAAACTAATTTTGACGTTTTTGAATAGACATTATTACCAAACAAAGCGTTTCCATGGTTACCCATGGGTAATGCTATTTTTACGTTCAGAAAAAAAAATAAAATTTGTACCTTTAAAGCTAATTTTCTCAAAATTTTCCTTATGTAACCCATATCGATATTTACATCGTTAGTCGCAGAGAAATATATACTTTCAGATTTTGTAAACAAATGCATATGGTGCCATTTAAAAAAAATGTCGATGACGTCATAACTCATAAAAAAATGATTATCAGGAAGTGAGTATGGTGTCATAAAGTGTGTTATGATTAACCAAAATTGACCCGTTTCAGCATTTTTGCAAAAAAAAATTTGTTATCAATTTATTGAATATGTTCCATAATTTTGCCGCGCACTGTATAATTTGAATAGCAACGTTTTTCCTAACTTTGTAACGTTCCGTTGATGATTTTAATCATCATAAATATAACAAAAACTATCGGGAATGTTTTTACAACCGCGAGTAACCATTGTTTGAAGTCTGGTTATGATTTACAAACAACTTCTGTCAACTTCAACATGAAGTACTGTACACAATCTAAGACATGTTACATCTTTCCTCTATTTTCCTCTTATGCCGCAAACACTCTTCCGTTTAAATTAGTACAATTCAAAATTTCTTTCGGTAGGCGCTAATGGGTTAATAACTCGAGTAAAAAACAACCTTAAAAAGCTTCGTAATGAGTTAATACAGAAAAAAATGTATAGCTATATAATAGAGAGTTTTCATTTCATGTAAATGTTAATAACTCATTATGGTTTGCACGTTCTCTTTCGCCGTGATTGCAATTATAGTTGTAAATTTGTTAATGGAAACCGTTTAAATTAATTTACTGTTTTTAATTTATTAATTAAAGCGACGAGGATTTATCAAATTATTAGATAAAGCGGTAAATGACTGCATAATTATTAATACTAATTAATCATTTTGTAATCGATTTCTGTTTGTAAATACGATAGTTAATTTTATTTCTAAAAAGATAAATGTCTGTTTCAATTTGATAGATTGATTAGTTACTAAAGCTTGAGGTAAGTTAATCACTAATACCCAAAAGAGAAAATGAATAGATCGTTAATCCTCGTTCGTAAATGGCACCAATTCATTCGGAAAATTAGTAGAGATCTTATTCAAAGTGTTCAAAAGGAACCCAAATGATTCCATACAAAATACTATATTGGGGTTGTTTTCCTCAAAAAGCTAGCGGCGATCTATTAGCAATAAATCTCGGTTTCGCGAGCCTAAGCCGTATCTAACGATGACGTGCTGTCAGCGTCGAGGAAAAACTGGCCGCCGTTCAATTACGACCCGGATGATAAATCGACGTTCCTGCGAAACGTGTTTTTCTACCGGCGCGGCGCGACTGAAATACATATTTCTTGGAATTTCCATGGTGCAAACATTTCGTGCCGATTGCGTCCCGAACTCGGAGCTAGATTTTTTTCTACACAACATCCGAGAACGAAGCGAAACGAATGGATCGGGATTGAGTCGGATAAAATAGTTCATCAGGGAAATGAGGAAATTGTACCGCTCACAACTACCACCATACTTATAATTGAGTTCAACTACAGAAGTCGTCGGACTCCGCTGCAGGCTTATTCTAATTATTAGATGTGAGATACTTATCCGGCTTTAACGTTTATTGCACAAAGGAATTCATTTTCATTTTGAATTTACTACGTGATATGGAAATTCAAAGAAGCACAAAGGTACGTTTA